GTGAGCTATTTTTGCATATGTAATCAACGGATCACAAACAGTTCATTAATTTTCTGATTTCCCTGTTCTTATGAGAATGTTGACGGGCTTCCCGGTTGAAAAGCTTACAAGTAATGTTTTTTCGCTTTAACCCTCTCCCCATCGACTGGGTATAATACAGTCGGAGACCATCTTTTGTTTGGTGACAAATTGGGCATCCTTTATAAGATTTCAGGCATACTCCACCTATTTCTCACCATAGTTTTGCTGAACATATTTACCTCTGTTTTGGGGAATGTGCTCGAAAAGATTGTGAAATAGCGTCTTCTCCAGCTGTTAAAGTGGAAAGATCTAACGCTGGCACAGCATGACTTCATGAAGGACCGCTCGTGTAACACCAACATGCTGTTTTACGCGGCAGGAATAGTTGCAAGCGTGGAATCCGAGGGAAATCAGTCGATGTTTTCTGCATTGATTTCAGCAAAGCTTTCGATGAACAATGAGGTCATGCTCTACAAGCTGAGGATATGTGGTGTTGGTGGCGCACTGCACCAGTGGATCTGTGACGTCCTTATTGAGAAAACATGGCGATTACTGGTGGATGACAATCTAACGGACTGCTAACCCTCCACTAGCGGTGCGCCCCAAGGCACAGTGCTGGGGTCAATTTTATTCCTGATTCACATAAACGAAGTGCCTCAGCTTCTTCGGTCGCCTTGTGCACTGTATGCACATGACTTGAAGATTTAGAGGTTTATTTATTCTCCCGACGACTATGACGTCCTTCAACAAGACCTCGACCGCCTATCCCGGTGGTCTGCAGTAGCTGACTTATCGATTAACCCGGGAAAGTCCCCGTTTATGTGCCTAGTGAGGGGTGGTAATGGGCGTGCGTACAATCTGGCCGGCCACCTGGTTCATCCCACCAGTTCCTTAAAGGATCTAGGCGTACTCTCACCCCGGGATCTGAAGTCTGTCGATAATACGAACAGAATGTACGCAAACGGACTATACATGCGAAATAATTTGGAACACTGGTAGCCCGGCTTGGTTGCTCACCTGTTGATCGTTTTTCCGAGCTTGAAGATGCCACTGCACTGAAGATGCCACCTCGCATGGTGGTGAAATGTATGCGATTACTTAATCAAGCTCGGAAAAACGATCAACTGGTGGACTATACATGCGTTGGGCATTTGGACACAGCTTTTGCACATGGTCTGAAGAGATTTCCACCCCTCTTCCATTATAAGACCGGTGCTTGAGTACGGCTCACCAGCCTATTATCCGATTACAATAGGTGATGTGCAGAGATTGGAACGGGTCCAGCTGGTAGCTACCCGGCTCATCCTCAGTTTACGGTGTATGTTGTACGATGACCGATGTAGGAGACTAAGGCTGTATACCCTTCCATATTGTCGGCTTCGAGTTGATCTCATTATGACGCACCGCATGTTCCACCAGGGCCACTTCCCTATGTTGAAATCGCTGAGGCATGTTCGCGCACCAAGCAGCACACGCGGACACCGGTACAAACTACTGGTACTGGATTCAAAGCTCATCGCTCACCCTCTATGCTTCGAGTAGTGAAATATTGCAGCAAGTTGCCTGAGACAATAGTCGAGGCGAAATCGGTGTCGGAATTTAAGAGTCCTTGACGCCCGTTTTGCGGACTACAGGTAAAAGGAGGGTATCGCCGCTGGATATGATGTAGTGCAGCTAAAATATGCTGCCATCGCGCAAAAAATCAATGACGTGCTTCCGCGCATGTGTCCGATCCACTTACGATGGAGCAACACAGATTTTTATCTTCTCGCTCTCTATTCTCATTATTAACTGGTTGCAACTTGTCATCCGTGAAAAACTGCAACATTTTACAGGTTTGAAAATATTCCCTTGCAGTCCCCACTAACTGGGTGTAACCCCGCACACGGGCACATTTCATGCGATAAAACGAAGAAAAAATATTAATGTCAAAGATTATTATTCTTTCTGGCAACAAGAGTAGTATACAAATGCGTCAAACTGCCGGTCAATCAAGCGATAGTGAAACTAGTTCGATAGCTTCGGGGTGAATTGTTCGCTCCTGTTGCAAAGGGTCCGAGTTTCTACTGTCCGTTGGACACTGATGTATCTGTGATATCAGCAGTCCTGCTAACAAGTAACAGTAAATCTGTGAAAGGGTCAAGCCTTGTCTCCAGTGTAACCGTTATTGTGTTTAAGTAAGACCTAAAACCCAAGCTCATATTCTGTACTTCTTTGTCAATCTTTGTAGACATAGAACTTGACTACCCATGTATATTATACTCGTCTCGTGACTTTTCAGTTTGGTATTCAGAATGAAGCTGACAGATGTGGTAAATAAATGATCCATTGGGTCTGCACTTTTGTTTTGTTACAAATCTAGAAACTGCTGCTGATGTCAAACTGGGATGGTACAAACGGGTTGCTCACTGTTGCATGAATTTCAACATGGCTGAACAGCATCGTATGATTGGAAACACAGGAGAGATCACTGCTGATCACATTTGTTTTTGGCCAAGTAAAGCCGCTAGATGATGCAAAGTTGTTAAAAGGGACTGGCCATACTGGCTAGTCGAACAACTTCCACATACTGCCAGTTGGGTGGTTCGGGTTTAACCCGTTCTAGCAAATAGTTCGGCGGCAGTGTTCCGGGACGTGGTGGGTTTTCGCCTGGCAAGCGTTCTCCCTATAAAAAGCCACAAATGTCTGCTTAACATCTCTGTGACGTGGCAGATGTGACTCGCCACTAAATAAAGTCACTGCCCAAGCTTACGCTGACATTCTTATCAAATCCACAGACTTCCAACATTTCTTCAGACACCGTCGACGCGGTTGAACTCATTCCAAAGGACAGTAACACATTTACAAACACAAACAACGCACCTACCTACATACCTAAATTTATGGATCCACCTATATGAAAACCCTCTATACCATTGCGCACTTCTTGATTGTTATACCATTGCTATGATCATGCTTTTAACGGCGTGCCTCGCGTAACCGAGAATAAATATTTATTTATTTATTAATTGATGGAATAGACATAAACAGTTTTTTCTGCATATTAACTGTACTGGAGTTTTCACTCAGTCTGGAAATATGGTATCCTATATGTTGATGGAAAAAAGGTTAATGGGCAATTTCTTTGGCCACAGCTTACAAATTTTGGCTAGCGGGTAACCGCATATGTGCCACCAACTACACGCATATCTTCCAATTTTGCATCCATTCATCGCAAACATCCGTTTTACGTAATGCCAGGTTCGATTTTACTGCCTTAGTGAATAAACAACTGGATTAATTATCTTCATTTGCACGAGCCACACTCGAACAGGTATGACCAGTTAAGGAGAGAATTCTCCATGTTGATCCGTAGCACATTTAATATCGCAGATTAGTTTTTATCCGCTACTATGATGACATGCTGATATACAATAGTGGCAGTATGTTAATGTAGGGAGTGAATAATTTCACTGAGTATTCAAAAAATCTCACCTGAGTTGGTATTAGCGAAGTAGCATTGATATCTAAGCAATAGGCTTCAGAACCCGAAGTGATTTTCTGGCAGCCAGCTGTGCATACGCTTGATCAACGATGTAATGTGGTCTCACAATTCCAATGCAGGAGATTCGAGTGGGATAGTTTCCCCAGCTGATTGATCGGCTGAATCGCTGCATTTGTCGGACACCATGTGAAGGCAATTGTTGAATTATTGATGGTTCTGTGCACATGGGACTGCAAGGCAGTCGTAGCCAAATGGTATCCACACACAGCGTCAAGAGAATTGAATTGCTCGCAGCGATTTTGTGATCAGTTTTATCTTTTTAGCCTAAGGAGCTGAAGACTTTTTTGAGCGTGCCCTTTTAACGCGCGGGACAGGAGTTGCAATTCATGTATGAGTCATGCGGCGTCGACACTGGAGACTCCGATAGGTGAAGATGTTGTATTTCATGCACCGGTTGTGTCCCTGACACTGCGACGTGCTACCGAAGCACGCGATCTTGGCATCATCGTGACGAATAACTTTAAGCCGTCGGCGCAATGTAAGCATGCTGCTAACAAAGCACGACAGGAGTTATTTCGACTCAGGAGAGCTCTGAATTGTACCAAGTCTTTGTATAGAGCAGTGGTTAAGCCACATTTGGAGTACTGTGTTCAGACCTGGGCCCCCTACCTTCAGAATGATGTCAGTTGTACTGAGGATGTACATAAACTGCCCAATCGAATGGTACAACGCCACCGGTGATTAACATCTGAAAATCAGTTAGCTAACTTAGGATTGTTCTCACTGAAGAGATGCAGATTGAGAGGGGACTTAATAGAGCCATTCAAGATCATGAAGGGTCTCAGGGGGTCTCAAATCTACTGATCTCTTTGAACCAGCTACGTCCGACCACTTGCGGTGTCATTTCCTAAAGTTGAAACAGCAAAGATCTAGTCTAGAGATAGGAGCTGTTCTCAAATCAGGTGGTGTCTAGCTAGAATCAGCTTCTCTCTGCATTATTGGAACTTAAGACGGTACAGGACTTTAAACGATACCTGGACGAAAATTGCTTGGTCTTCTTCCACGAATTCCTGTGGGAAATCACCTCGGTCTCCAACCACACGCAACTAGCTTATGCAACTTGGTGAAAATGTTGCGGCTGTTTTGCTTTTCTTTCTTTCTCCAATACAAACTTGAGAATTCACTATCAAATCGAAGTGCTGGGGGCTCTTTTTCACTTACTGGCACACGAAATGGTACGCTCATTAAGCGAAATCTTGTTTCGTCCAGAATAGAGCTCGCGAACCGAAGCGATCGTTATCGTCCGAGAGCGATGCGTGTCGTTCACGAATGAGAGTACCAGTATGATTCAACGACTTCTTATCCACGCGGAATTTTGCTCGGTTTTATCATTTTTCGCCATATCGCTTTTTTTGTTCTCGTCTAATGGATAATTTTCTCACCCCTGTTTGCTATCGCTTATCCGTTTGTTTTGTTTTCTCGCTTCTCATAAAAGGTGAAACAGGCACCATCTGTCGTTCCAACTCTGGGGGATTGGAATGAAATTAACGCTCCTTCTGGCTTTCGTGGTCCTAATTCGTGTGCCATGATTGGAGCTTCTCCGGCCAATCCGAACAAAACTACATTTGCTTCCAACTCCGAATGGTCTCTTTCACGATCTATCTCTTCCTGTGGCTCCCACTGTGGTCCTGAAGAATCCGACCACCTACTTACTCAGATATCATCCGACTTCACCACCTCATCTTACGACTCTCCTCTTAGTATCGATTCAGCTTTCCACTCACAATCACCACTCCAACAGACCTCCCATCTGTTGCCTCAAGCCGAAATTCTTCCGGTGCCCGATGAGTTTGCCTTGGATCCGGTTGGCTTTGTACTCACCCCCAGAGGTTGGGTTCCCAGATTCATTCACAGAGAGTAAAGGATGGAGGATGGATGCCATTCGAGTTACCTTGAAGTGGGTTCAGTCACTTTTCCTTTCCTATATAGTCATGCCACACTACCTCACCATGTCCAATACGCTGATGTATTCCATGTCAATCATAGTGTGTTTTCTTTTATGTTACACCGACAAATGACACCAGCGTGTCCGCTACGACCATGTGTACTGATGAGTACGTTGTGTGTGTGTGTGGGGGGGGGGGTGATGGCCTATTTCCTTAGCACGACAAATCACATTGAATAAATCGCGTTGCCTTGGGCAGCTGGCACGTGTGTGTGGTTGTTGCTTACCGAAGAGGTCGTTGCTTTGTTTCGAATGTAGGGTGGCAGTAATTGACTTGGCTGGCCACTACCAGACGGCGTGTAGTTGGCCCATCTTGGCTCGAGACGTCACAGGAGTTGGATCGCAACCGGCACTAATTGCGCGTCTAATGTTCTATTCCATCTGTCCATCTAACATGTGACGAATACTGATTTATCTGGGTTATTGTACAGTTGTGAAACCTGACCGCTTAAAGCAGCGGACCTGAAGAGGCTAGTTACGTTCGACCACCGTTGCCTTCGTAATTTAGCTCACATCTGGTGAGAACACCGCGTGAGCAACGAGCGTGGCCGACGCCTTATTTATGGCACAGGAAAAGGAACTGAACCGCTCAGCACCGTTATTTCCCGCACCAGGCTCCGATGGCTCGGCCACGTGTTACGCATGCCAGCCCACCGACTCCCGCGACGTGCGTTGTTTGCGCGCCGGGGGTGTGGATGGAAGAAGAGGAGGGGTGACCAAGAGATGACTTGATCGAGCGAGATGACGACCCTCACTTCGAAACTGGCCTCGGTTGGAGCGTTTCGGCTCCCTGTTGAGGTCCGTAAGACGATGAACACGTTTGGCTGGATACACTTGTTGATATGGCAAGGAGTCGACCTCAGTGGCGTTCGTGCTGTGAGTTTCTTTGTCCCACCCCATCCCTCTTAGCCTCCCCCTCCAACCACGATCTCATTATTTAACCTTATATAATTTTGCATAGTAATTTTTTGATGCATAGTAGCCGGCTGGTAGCTTACTGGAACGATGCCCATCCGTTACCGGTAGCTCAGCCGGCTTGCCCTAGTTGAATTCTTTTTTTTCTCTCCTTTTTTCTGTGTATTGCGGCACAGTAGCTGAAGTGTTCCCCACCTCTAGCTAACGTGTATGATGATGATGATGACTCCTACTTTGGTCCTTGTACGATGGTAACTAGTGTATGTCAGTCTATGGACGATTTTGAATACTAGACATAAAATCTGCCTTTATCTTCGAAGCCATAACGATACGAATTTTAGCAAATGACTTCTATCTTTATAAGTGAGCTTAGAAATGCAACTCAGAATTCTTTTTGTAATCGACCTTTGTGTAGCTTCGATTGCACTCGGTTTGCATCTTCTAATGCTATTAAAAGTGGTCGCACGGTATTCTAAAATTGGTCTGGCGTAAAGTTTGAATGACAAGAGCTTAACGTCGTTTGCCGTAAACAAGCGGCTTATCATTCCAGTAGTCTGTCGTGTTTTAGCCCCTATATACTCAACTTGTTCTTTGAAATTCAACGAACCTGAATAACGGCGACCTTAGCCACATATCGATTCGCATCAAGCGAATGGGATTCCATGCAAAACACACATTCAGGTGGAACCAAGCATCCATAGCACATAATGCTCCATTTAGATGCTGAAAATTTCCTGCAAGACGCGACACACTAGACAGGGAAACTAGGTCACTTTGTATCGCAGATACAACAGACGGAGATTGAGATTCAGTGGCATACAAAATTTTTATATCATCTGCGAACAAATAATGTCGACCATGCCCTATTGCAGGAGGAAGATCATTTACACATATCAAAAAGAATAAGGTCGAATACACTATTGTAGCACTCCACTAGTAATATCTATTGTTTCCGACAGATATCTCTCGACTGTCTGCTTTCGACTAGGGAGATAAGCCTCTAACCAGGATAGTAGTAAGCCTGTGATTCCATAAAGGCGAAATTTATGTGTAAGCGTTCTGTGTGAAGCTCTTTCGAAGTCTTTTTCTAGGTCCAGCTGAAGTACGACACAAGCCTTACCAGAGTCTGTCGACTTCGTTAAGTAATCAAAGAAATCAAGATGGCAAGTGACACTTGAACGTTTTTGCAGAAATCCGTACTACAAATTTGACAAAAGTTTTTGTTGTTAGGAATTTAACCATTTCATTTTTAACTAGGCGCTCAATGATTCTGGAAATTATAGCAGTGTACTTTATGGGCCGATAGTGTTTAACGTTATCTCTAGGCTCGGTTTTATGGCGTGATATCACTATTGTCAGTTTCCACTGATCGGGATAGAACACATTTGTTATTGATTTGATAAATAAGTTCATCAGTAGGCAAGGGACATCATTTCCACCAAACTTTTAAAGTACTTGAAGGATTCCCTCTGGATTTGGATGAAATGTAGTCTTTAAAGCGTTGATTTGTCGCTTGATTGAGCCAGAGTCGAAATCTGCGTTAGAGATACATGGCCCATAGTACTGTGTAAAGTTTATCGTTCACAGTACTAAACGAATCGGCAGAATAATTGTTAGAAGCTTCAGCTACAACTGCAGGAGTATCGATAAGGACACCCTCAGGCGTAACAAGAGGCATCAGTGAGTTTCCTTATGTGCGCCTCCGTTTTTTTAGTAATCGTGTTATTTCGAACACTACATTAGCACTTTTCATCATTACCGTCTCTTCTTTCTTGAGAGGAAGAATTCTCAGATTTTCATTTTTTTTTAACAACATTTTGTGTAGCTTGAATAGAACTGTAAAGTCATTAGTCTGTTGAAACTGTTTGGAATGAACTCTTATCTTAATGGTGTTTTTCTTGCGGCTGTGACTTATTTCGACTGCGAGCTAGAGCAGGCGACAGTATTTCTATGCATCGATTTATGTTCTCATAAAATGCTTGAAATGGCACCTTTGGATTAGAAGACAGTAAATCGGTCCAGTCTCTGACTGGACACAAGGGTAGCAACGTTTCTCCAGTTTAATCTGCCAAAATTACGCACGTGTCTCAATGGGGCTTTAGGTGTATATGCAATGATTATTTTGCAACTGACAACATTATGGTCACTATGATGTAGACAGTCCAGTACGTCGATAACATCAACTATTGGTCCAACAGTGAATATGAGGTCTAGTGTAGTATGCAACTGTGTGGAGAGATTACATGCTGTATCTAACCTCCCTCAAGCAGGCAATTCAAGATTTTAGCTTGCTTTCCTGCACCTTTGCACTCGATCCATGAAATGTTTGCTAAGTTGAAATCTCCTCCAGCTACCTTAAAGCGAATAGGAAATGCAGAGGCATGCCTCATCGCATTCTGAAAAAAATCCGTTTTCAAGGGCACTAGAGGACGGTGGTAAATAAACACAATCTATCAACGTTCTATTATTACCCAAGGATTCTGTTATCCAAGGGATGCGAATTGCTCGCCACTGTATTGTGAAGGACATAAGTTATTCATACAGTAAATGATACAATCACCCCCTACCATGACATCGGTCCTGTGGAAAAAGTACTAACCTTGCATAGCTATAAGATGGTCCGCAGTCTCACTCATGCACCACGATTCGGTAATAAGAAGGATCTGGGGTTGATGAAGGGCGACGAAGCAGCGGAGCAAATGCATTTTATGTACTAGAAAGCGGGCGTTGATGAGCACCAGTTTGAATGTACCATCTTCAAAGGCGTAATCCTTTCGTTTACATAACATATTATGTAAGCGACCCTCTATTTCTCCGGGACTGTCATCTGTTAAGTGGCTAGCAATGCTGGAGGATGGGGCGTGTGATTTAAGAGAAAACTCCGTGCCTGGGTGCGGTCGACGTGCTAAAATTGTATTCTCAACTGATGAAAAATGGGGGTAAATTGGTAGTGCTTTGATGGAGCTGATGTATTCTTATGAAGTTCTCATCCACCTGGTTTACTCCGTGCACGGAGAGGCATCTCTCGGAGTATGGTGGTGAATTCCACATGCCTAGCGATCCGCAGGGTGACATGAGGTTTCTTATATCTAAACCTGGCACAGTGTTATTGACTGATGTCTCCTCGAAGGGGGCTTGTCAGGGGATTGCAGTAATTGACATGTGTTGGTTGAGTGATGGTCCATATTTGGACTGATCGGGCACACGTTCTACGCTTCGTCTAAAGTAACTATGTTAGTTTGGTGACACACTGCGGCTCTAGGGTACTCAACAATTGGCAAAGAGGGCGTATTCGTCTTTACAACTTTATAGGTGTATATTGAGCACTCCTCGTAGAACATCTCAGTTTCACGGGATTACTGGTCCAGTTTCTATCAATCACATGACCTCTCTGGTAATGAGCAGCGTTACATTTATGTGACTCTGTAGCTTTGTTTCGGTTCTGAGTTGCTCTCAGTTTACGTTGTTATTCAGACGCAATTTATTGATTAGGGGTCTTAAGTTGGTCTGCATTGTCCTCTTGCCCATAATCGGTGAGAATCACGTTAGCTGTCGTCTGAGTACTAAAGGGTATTTCGTTGCTTTCTGCGGTCGCTGAGGCGTTAATCTCATGTATCACAATGCCCAGATTATTTGTGTTTGTCTGAGGACAACTATAGTCAGTAGATTTGCAGGACTTCTCCAAAGCTAATTATTTTTATTCAACACCTGACCAATATACAATTGGCAGTGCCACAATACATTATTAGTAACAAAAACAGGAAAGGGAAACAGATAGACGCTGGAAAGATATGGAAGATTTACAAGATTAATGTGTTGTGGAGCAGAGATCTTCCCGATTGCCCAGGCCGAGGAGGAGGATTGACTTAAGGGACCCAACCCCGAGCTAAATTCGAAGTCGAAGTCATAGAGCAATCTGAACTTAAAACTTTAGAACCACACTCGCACGCGGACGAGTCTAAATCCACAGTAGCTTGGTCTTTGACTTCTTTATCAGTTTGGTAACTAACAATATTATAGGAATTAGCTTTGTTATCGGATTGGACCTGCTTTACCCTTATTTCCCTCTGAAAGGAGCGTTTGATCATGATACGATTGAAATCAGTGTTGGTATCAATTAAACTCATTCTCTTGTGAAATAGTTGACCATGGGTTTCTTCTGTAAACTTCCATAGGATTTGATACGCGTACTTAGGGTTTGCTTTTCTTAGGCGTATAAGGTGACAGTTTGTTCCACTCATGCTACTCGCATTGAGCAATACACGCTTCGCAATTTCTAGGTGTATTTTGTCTGGTATATTAAAGATGACAACATTTCTAGCCCGATTTATCCTTTCACGAATTTCCGTGGTGAGCGACGAAAAGATCGATGCTGCTGCTTGCATGTGCTTTGTATTCGGTTTATCAGGCACATTCACTAAGTCTGATACTGATGTCAGTTTATGCAGTACCTGGAAGCGGTGGATCGGTTAGCTATGTCACTTCTGCTGGTCACATCACTGAGGAACTTACTTCGTGCACCATTAAGGCCCGTGTGGCTTTCCAAAGGTCTAACCATCTATGAAGACGGCGGCATATCAGTTTGTCATTGAAAGGTAGGGCATATAATGCTGCGATAAGGCCAGTGTTACTGTATGCATCGGAGACATGGCCAGTTCGCAATGAAGACATTAAACGCTTGGCCGTGTTTGACTATTAGTGCTTGCGAAGTACTGCTCACGTTTGGTGACAACACCGGGTGTGCAATGCTGAGGTCCGCCAGTTGCTTTTTGGCAAACATCTGGTACCTCTCTCGAGTGCTTACTAATATTAATCGTTTGCGTTGGCCAGGCCATGTACTCTATGCCCGTCGATCGGCTTCCTCGGCGTGCATTGTACGCTTTAGCTGCTCCAAGTTGTCGAAACCTCGAGGTAGCCAGTCCATGACGTAGCATAGAAGCTTGGAGAAATTGACAGCGAGACTTAGTCAGGCTGATGCGTGACATCTACCTGGAAAGGGACCTCGGAACGATCCCCACCAGTGGTTTGAGAGCGTTCCTGCATTCGGTTTCTTTCATCTGGTTGTTAGTTTTTCTTCCATTCTGGTTACTCTAACACATTTCCTTCTTACTTTCCTTTTCTCTACGTTCTTTTTGCACCCAAAGCTTCTGTTCTGTCGTTGTTGTTTTTTGTTATTCTTACGGTGTGAGTCGTGGCAACTGGATCCATCGAATTTCGGTGCTCCGATCATAGTTTATCAGCTAACCGAACTGAACTGATTTCAACAGTTGACCTGGATTCTAACTTGTCCGCTGCTATTTCGGATTTCCGATATCTTACACGATTGTTATCGTCACACTGAGCAACCGGCAGACAGTTATAAGAGTGCTTTCAGCTCTGCGTCTTAGACATATCCTCCGAATTATCTGGCTTTTGGTTTGGCCGATTTCCTAGCATCTCGACTCGTTTATGTCCCAGCTAATTTCTTCACATATTTGTTCTCTGATGACAGCTTCGCGATCATCTCTACTTAATCGCAATTACTCGTCTCCAATACGTTTCAACTGAAGTGGTCATGCGGTTATCCTGACCGTTTGGCTGTTCACTCCTATAATCTACACTACATTTACTAAGGCGAAACTACCTCTGATTATTTCTTTGTGGAATAACCCAGTCATAGAGTTCATTCATTACTCGGGAAATGTTTATTTCCGGAACTGTTCGCCAACGACGTGGCAATAATCGATCTATAATGCCACTCTAGTCTCGCCTTTCCCTACACTCACTGTCAGTCGGTGAGTCTTAACTAATTGGTTTCACTATTTGCTGTGGAATGAATGTGTTTGCTAATCATTCACTCAAACGCACCTTATCCAAGATTTTTTGTCGCATCACCGTATCGCCCAACTGTTCCTTTCATTCTCGAACTGAATATGACCTTTAACCGTCAAACAAAATATCCTCATCAGTATGACACTTGTCACTCTCCTCCCTCTTTCTCTCCAACATCAGTGCCTTTCGCTCCCCCATCAAAAACTGGCTCCTTCCCCTTTTCACTGCTGCATCCATCCACGTACCCGCCGATCTTGCTTGTTTGTGCCTGCGAATCCCATCGGCACGCTTGCCTCATTATCCACCTGAACCCATGGGATTGCACGAAATTCGGGACGTCTTCCGAGTTAACCATCACTTTTTTCTGTTTCAGTGGTCTGATATGTTGCCCACGTTCCCGTTTCATCATCTTCAGTCTAGTCCATTTGCCATCTCTCCACCCTATCCACATCGGTGTCGACTACGTCGCCGTGCCGAAAACTCCTCTCAGACTTCTTGGGCATTAGCGTATGGATTCAACACACTTTTTCACATCAAGATACGGCCGAATTTCCTACACACTGCGCCCCCTCTTTCAGCACTAGGTTTTTGTACCATGTTGTGCATCTATGTAGGCTCTTCTTTTGATTTTGTTTTCACCGGCTTCCTTTTTCGTCATTGCTCTCATCCTTCATCTCCGTTTAGTCCACGTCACTCGGACACATCATCGCTTTTGCATACCCCGGTTTGTCTGAATGCATATGTTTTACAAGCTTTTGTTTCATCTTACCTTCTCTGACATTAACTCCTCTCCGCGCACTCGAACGCGGTATCGTTCCCTTTTCATCACGGTCGTCTTTCCGCCGCTTCATTTTCGTTTCATCTTTGGGCAATCTGCTTTCTGCCGATTAAATGAAATCCCGCGATTTACTTAGTCTGTTTTGGTGTATTCAATCAAAACACACTTGCAATGTCGCCTACGTCATTGTCCACTTGTTTCTGCACATCATTTTTTGATTATCACATGACACTTACGCCCCAGAATGCGTGATGCTGCCGTCAGTGTCGTTTGTCTTTCCATTCTTGAATCACAAGTCTGATTTTTGTAGTCAAGACGCGCCCTCCTTGCCTTTGTGTACTTGTCTTTTTGCTTTGACAGATCATACACAAATAATCGCATGCTCCCTGTTTTGACTGCCATACACGCTGACTAATCTAGTGTATCTATAGCTCAATACCCCGGTTGCATTTGTACCGAAAATTCCTTGATTCCGCTACTTCTCCCCTGACGTAAACATGCTACTACCCGCTAACTACTTTGAGGGCTCCAATTGTGGTGTTATTCGTGTAGCCACATCAGCCGGCCTATGTACGCCACATGCCTGGGTCGTTGTTAGCACGTTAACAGCGTGCGCGCGTCAGAAGTGAGCAGCCGCGACATCGTCGAACCGTGTCTGGTAAGAACCCCATCGCACATCACGTGACCGGACGGATGACACTGTGGCAACCGGGAGACTGCCAACGAAGTGCGGGCGACGGATTTATGTCTTACTATATCGTTTAAATAGCTTGCCATTTTTTCTAGCCAAACTTTTGATCGAAGCGCAGCTTGACTTTTCGCGCCTTCGGAGGTGTACGTCGCACCCGTGACTCACTGCGTTGCACTGCTTCATGCAGTATCGACAGTTTTTGGTTGATCGGTGGAATTGTATCATTACTATATCCTTCCACGTCTTCTAACGTTTCAACAGTCCAGTCGCTGCTGTTGGCTCTACCTTAGAATCGACCTGAGAGACTTTGTCAGAATCGTCGGAGAGATATGATCGAACTCATTATTGGCGATTCGGGGTGCTTACGTATGCCTCTATAGTGTGTAACTCAATACCACATGCCATTCCGCTGGACTCATCTGCAAAATTGCTTCCAGTGCAAATGTGATGCTTATTTGCAGCTCCAAAAATTTTGATTATGGGCACCTTTGTGCTCTGAAATAGCAGTTCAGAGGTGTTGTCTGAACGAATGTGAATTGGGGTTTACCTTAAAATTGGAAAGTGCTTTGTTATTTGCTTTGATGACATGCTTGAACTCATTGTATGTTACGGATTTACTGTTTTTTAGACAGCTTCCTTGTCTGCATTTTCCGTTTTATTTGTTTGAAAATTCCGTTTTGTGGGTGAATTGCGCCATAGAGTCTTAATCTGGATCGCAATTCGCTTTGTAGTGAATCTCGTTCACCGGGAGCGCTCAAACGCAGCTTCTGCACCTAGTCCGAAGAGGTTACCACCCGCCTCTTCAATGTGTGAAGCGGTTGTAAAAA